TAATTAATTATCATGATGCTATTATTATGAGAGCATGAGATCACCCGAGAATTCTAAGAGAGTGTGAGCTCCAGAGTTCTCTTGTTTCTTCTGGGACCAAGTATCTCCATCTCCGTTGGCTTTGTTTGTTTCGCGAACCTTATCTTCATCTATAAGGGTGTTAGGCCCGGGGAACTTAATCAGCCATTCTCTCGTTTCTTTGATCCTTAAGATATTTTCTTATTCACTGAAGCCTCTCTAACTCTGGTACCTCAAACGTTCGAGAATCGAGCGCAACAATGGCGAGCGAGGTAGTTCTGTTGGATACATGGCCGAGCATGTTTGGAATGAGGGTTAGGATCGCACTGGCAGAGAAAGGTGTGAAGTATGAGTATAAGGAAGAGAATCTGAGGGACAAGAGCCCTCTGCTTCTGCAAATGAATCCGATTCACAAGAAAATCCCAGTTCTAGTCCACAACGGCAAACCCGTCTGCGAATCTGCCATTATTGTGCAGTACATCGACGAGGTGTGGAAGGACAAATCTCCGCTTTTGCCTTCGGATCCATACGAGCGAGCTCAAGCCAGATTCTGGGTTGATTTCATTGACAAAAAGGTAAATTCTATGAGCTCTTCTTATTGAATTGTTCTATTTACCATGCTTGTTGTTCATCTCAGTGCCAAAATCTTTTTATATTTGAAGAGGAAATCTATGTTTCATCTTTATATATCTCTTGTCGTCTGTGAATAAGAGAATTGGGATTGATGGGGATGCAGGTGTATGAGACGTGGAGGAAAATGTGGCTTTCAAAGGGAGAAGAGCACGAGACTGCCAAGAAAGAGCTGCTCGACATATTTAAGCTTCTGGAAGGGGCACTTGGGGACAAGCCCTTTTATGGGGGTGACTCGTTTGGGTTTCTTGATGTTGGTTTGATTCCATTTTCTTGCTGGTTTTACACCTTTGAGACTTATGGTCACTTCAAGATGGAAGCTGAGTGCCCAAAACTCATGGCTTGGGTGAAGAGGTGCGTTCAGAGCAGAGAGAGTGTGTCCAAGACTCTTCCTGATGAGAAGAAGGTCTATGAATATATCTTGGCCTTAGAGAAGGTGATGACTGGAGCTTGAATAAATAAAAAGCACTTTTTGAATGGGCTAATATGATAAGTTAGCCTTGGATCATCAAGTTTATGACTGTTTTGGTTTGTTATGTAGTAGTGTGCTTGCTTGATTGCTAAGAGTTGGGTGTGTCTGCCTTAAGATTGTGAGTTTGATGGCCACTTGGGTGTGTCTGCCAGATTTAATGCTTAGTACGGAATCAAATTATGTTCGTGTTTCTGTGAGATCCGAACGTAGTGAAGTAAATAAAAACCTTTTACCATTGTGATTCTGGGATGAACCTCTTGTGATGTTTTGTTTAATCTTTCATTATAAAATCTCTTCAAATGAACTTTGGATTCCTTACTGTATTTTGTTCCAAACGAAGTTCGGGTTAAGGAATCCAAATTGATTTGGAGGAGCCGAGTCTTGGGTGTAGTGAAGGGAGGACCCGTACCTTCCAAACTTTCATGGTCAAAACTCAAAAGGCAGAGAATGAATTGAAGGGTCCTCCCCTGCGTCGCCATTCACTCTCACGAGTAGTTTTCAGATAGAGCATATATAATTCACGTGACCGACTCTCCGGAGCTAAGATGGCCAAAAGGGTCCTTCTAATAAATTGAGTTTCATCATCGAGGTGACTGCCAAAACAACCTCGACTTAGTTCTCCATTTACTACAACTACGAGGGCTTTGAAGATTTGGATAGCGTTTTAATAGCCCTTTAAGTTTAGGTCGTGTTCTTCCTATAGTTTTCGTTATGTGGGAGTGAGAAAAAAGAAGAGGGGTATAACAGATTTAAAGAAATGGTTCATGGATCAGATTGTGCTGGATAAGAATATAACAGAGCATGCATTCTTCGTAAAAATACAACATTGGGAATTCTGTAAACGTTGATTGTGAGCCATCACTTGTGCATAAAATTAAGGAGACTGCCATTGGAACAACCCAGTGGTGCAAAAGAGGGACAGCAAGCAAGGCCTACATATTCATGTTTTAGTGCTTCTGTCAGAATAAAGTATAATAAAGCTTTGATTTGCTTATGATTTTTCTGCATCCTCTTGCATTGCTTCTTGTCCCTGTTTTGCAGCGGTGGGTTCTTCGTTCTCCCCAGACTGGGAGAGCTTCGCCATGGCAAATAGGACCACTGTGAGATGCTTGTGCTACAACTTCAGCCGCATGTCTCTGTCCTTCTTTGGCCCTTGCGCAAGCACTTTGAATAATAGGTTCAGATTGAAGGGAGGACCCATATCTGCCAAACTTTCATGGTGAAAACTCAAAAGACATGAGAATGAGTTGAAGGGTCCAACCTTGCGTCGCCATTCACTATCACGAGTTGTTTTCAGATAGAGCATATATAATTCACGTGGCCAACTCCCCGGAGCTAAGATGGCCAAAAGGGTCCTTTTAATAAACTGGGTTTCATCATCGAGGTGAGGTGACTGCTAAAACAACCTCGACTTAGTTCTCCATTTACTACAACTACGAGGGCTTTGAAGATTTGGATAGCGTTTTAATAGCCCTTTGAGTTTAGGTTATGTGTTCTTCCTATAGGTTTCGTTATGTGGGAGTGAGAAAAAAGAAGAGGGGTATAACAGATTGAAATAAATGGTTCATGAATCTGATTGTGCTGGATGAGAATATAACAGAGCATGCATACTTCATAAAAAAACAACATTGGGAATTCTGTAAAAATTGATTGTGAGGCATCACTTACCATTGGAAGAACCCAGTGGTGCAAAAGGGGGACAGCAAGCAAGGCCTACGTATTCATGTTTTAGTGCTTCTGCCAGAATGAATTATAATAAAGATTTGATTTCCTTATGATTTTTCTGCATCCTCTTGCATTGCTTGTTGTCCCTGTTTTTTAGCAGTGGGTTCTTCGTTCTCCCCACACTTGGAGAGCTTCGCCATGGCAAATAGGGCCGCTGTGAGATGCTTGTACTACAAGTGCAGCCATTTGTGTCTGTCCTTCCTTGGCCAATACACAAGCACTTTGAACAATAGTTTCAGACTGAGAGAGTGGTCTAAGCAGACGAAATTGAACGTGAAATTGTTGCAGAAAGTTGGATAATTATGCGTAACTCTGCATAATTATGCGTAACTATACTAAGCACGCTTTTTAAGTTTTAGAAATAAATTGCACTATTTATAGTTTCTAAATAATACTACCTCCCGTCCTAATTATAAAGTTTTAGTTAAGACTGGAGGTAGTATAACTTGTATATGTTGACATCGGACAGAAATATTAATATAGTCTCCAAGTTTTCAAAAAAAGAAAAAAAAGTTCTACAAATTCTTTATAAAACGGATCTGAATGTATATTTAAAATTTTCTGTATTTGATATCACTTCTTGCCAATGACTCATGAAAATCTTTTCGTGAGCGCAACCCGTTTTTGGTGACTTCTCCAAATTAAATTCACAGATTACTATTGAAAATGTAGGTGTCATAAAAATTTGGTGGCAGAGTTTTGTTCTGCTCATGGTTCTACTCATGAATCCCTCATAATTTAATATAATTATTAAATACGGGTAGTATGATGATGAAGTTCATAACACAGTAAAACTAACAACAGGTTCATGCCAATAAAGATTACAAAAAAAATTACAGTCCCAAGAGACAATAAATAATTCCATACCTAAAAGAACTGACACCAGAGGATCATGCACTCCAAGTCTGGATGCCATCCTTCTAATTATTATTCTTATCTTTAATTTCTATCACACTACGCATGTCTTCTTGCACGAACTATCATATCACAGATAATGTCGCATCCACTAATATATGGCATTGGCATCGGAATCTGATAATCAAGAGTTGTGTTAGGGCTGTTGCAGATAAACCCCAAGCTGCCAAGCTCCAGCTGATATAATTACAATCAGCAATGAAACAATTAAATCTTACAACTGATGTATAACTGAGAAAGAAACACAAAAGTAATGTAAATCTTTTGTTGATAGATAACAACCATAATTAAGAAAGTATCACCTTTTAGTTGGGGAGCCACCTGCGCCATCTTGCCACAAGAAGCATTGTTGTCACATAGAGAGAGTCTGACACCTTGCCCATGAAATTGAAGTAGGCATGCCTCCATGATCGAATAGCCAACAATGATCCAAATACTATCCAAAATCCAGTAGCAAATCCCACGCCCAAGCTTTCATAGAATCCTTTCATGAAAGAGTTGTCTTCATCAGCAGCTTGGTTAGCTTGTCGTATCTCATTCCCAAATGGATGATCTTCTGAAGGACAAAGCTTGTCCAACGGCCTCCCACAGAGGTAAGGATTTCCTTCATAGCGGGAGGGCTCAAAAGATTGCATTTGTGTTCCTGGTGGAATTTCCCCTGACAAGTTGTTGTTTGATAAATCCAAAATGCTTAGGGAAGATATTTCAGCAAGACTTGAAGGAATTTCTCCATCAAAATGATTTCTCGATAGATCTAGAGCTTCTAATGATTTTATTTGTCCTAGCTCTGAAACAATTTTTCCACTCAAATTATTTGATGATAGATTCAACAATCTCAAGTCAACCAATTTCCCAATTCCTGTTGGCATTTCACCCTCCAATTGATTGTGAGAGAGATCAATGTTCATAAGCCCATAACGGTCATTGTACACCAATTCTTTTCCTTTCCATACCATAGGCAACTTCCAATCAAAATATTCACCTACTTGAAGTGTTCCGTTCTCAATGAGGCTGAGATAATAATTGGAATCATTTATAACATATTTATGAGCCATTGCAACCAGCTTGTCGAGGCAACTTGGTATGGGTCCTGTAAACTTGTTAAAAGAGAGATCCAAAACTCTGACCTTCCTTAAATAACGTAGATGCAAGGGCAAATTTCCATCTAATTGATTCATCCGTAGGCTAAGAGTTTCCAACTCTTTTAGGCTGTCTCTTGTCCATGAAAGTGGTATTGGTCCTAACAAGTAATTTTTTTTTCCAAATCTAACATTCCCATTTCATTTGTATTCTCCAAGGAGGGAAGTCCACCACTGAAGCGATTGTTTCGCAAAACTAACATCTTAAGTTGAGTTAAGGACCCTATAGAGTTAGGAACCCTTCCTGAGAGTTGATTATTAGATAAATCCAAAATCCTTAAAGATTTGAAATGATCCCAACAATTAGGAAGTTGCCCCAATAAATTATTACTTGAGAGATTTAAAACTGCCAAATTTTCAACAATTGCACTCATTTGCTTGTCACATGGAAGAACAAATTTTGAAATTTGATTTTGTGAAATGTCTAAAGATCGAATCTTTAGCAGGAATGGTGGAATGGCACCTTTAATTTGATTTGAAGCGAATGGTATATCATAAACATTAAATTCAAGTGGCCAATCTGGAATTGCCCTTGTGAGATTGCTGGATTCTATTTGAAGTACATTTGCTCCCTCTATAAGTCTCCAAAACCACTTTGGTATAGAATCATTGATTTCAGCATCAAAAATAGATAAAACTTGTAAATTATTTTGAGTGCGAAGCCATCTAGGAAATCCAGGACCCAACTTACAGTGTGCTAACCCTAGTACTCGTAATTGAAAAGGTGGAATCCAATGGTTGCTGAATTTGAGGGTCAACAAGTTATTAGATAATTCCAAGTCTTGTAACTTGGTGAGGTTATCAAAATGGATGTCACTGATTGTTCCATTTAGCTCGTTATCAGAAAGACAAACGGACACTAAAGAGTTCATGTTTTTTCCAAAATCGACTGGAATGGGACCAGTAAAGTGGTTATTTTGTAGAGAAAGGTCTGCAAGATTAGAGCTTAGATTGAACAGCCAAGGGAATAATGATGATGTGAGCTTGTTGTCATCGAAAACAAGAGTCACAAGAGATGTAGAAAAATTCAAATGGGATGGAGGAGTTGAGAGAATATTATTGTCTGTCAGGCTATAGTTTGCAAGCCATAGCTCTCTCAAGTTTGGAAGCTTGCCAATAATTGGCAACAATTTGCTAGAGTAATTAAGATTAAAAACAGAGCTTAAATCAAGCAAAATTAATGACTGAAGATTGGAAAGCCACTCAAAGTTGACCAAGCTCTTGTCATCAAGTTCCAAAGCATCATTGTTGCCAATTGAAAGTATCTTTAAGCTTGAAAGATTACCAAGTTGGCTAGGGATATTGCCCACTAAATGATTCCAATCAAGGTGGAGCTCTTGTAGACCTAAAAGGTTTGCAAGATGGAAAGGTATATTACCAACCAAAGAATTGTCCGAATGATTTAGAATTCGCAAGTTTGAAAGCTTGCCAAGTTCAGTTGGTATTTCTTTGCCAAAAGAAGAATCAGAGAGACCGAGGTATCTTAATTTGGAGAGGGAAGCAAGGAATTTTGGGATTTGACTGCCATTGAAATCATTGAAACTAAGATCTAAATAATTTAACTTTTGCAACTCTGTCAATGATGAGCTAATCTCACCTCTTAAAGGTTGCTTGGTCTCAAAATCACCATGAAGATGCAGCATCTCAACATGGCCAGTGTCAGGATTGCAGAGAACACCACTCCAATGGCAACAATCTGGAGAAGAGCCCCATGAAGACAAACGACCCGAATCATCCACGAAGGCATTCTTCATGTTGAGAAGGGCTCGTCTTTCCTTGTGCAGGCAACTAGTGTTCGCATCTCCAGTTCTCCAACATGAGCCTATGATGAACAACTCAGCCTGCAAGAGCAACGTGAGTATGATGATTGGTTGCAGGAGCTTCACAAAAGTTAGATAGCTCACACTCATCATTATTGCAGCTCATGCAACAATAGGAAACTCCAACAATGGCACTGCATGAGCAACCGCGAGGCCCCTCCATATTTATAAAACCCCCACAGTGGCAAATGGAAAAGAATTCTTTGGCCTTGTCAAAATGTTCTCTCTCTCTTATATATTCTTAAATATATTAGAGGCTGATCGTTCAACTGGATTTAGTAGATATTACAACAATCTTAAATAATAGTACATGTAGTTCCAGACCTGATCGGTTCTCCTCACGGCTGACCATAAACATAAACTTTGATTTTTTTTTTTTCCGATGAAGAAACTTTGAAATATTTTACTCCTTGTTCAGATAAATCTGTCTTTTTAAAAAAGAGGCTTTAAATAAAAAAAATTGATGACAAAAGTGAATAATTTAGCGTGTACACTGTATACACATCTTTCTTCGGTGTTTTTTTTTAAGTAACGATTTTATTAATAACTAGATAAAACGATACATGGAAAAAGGTTTCAACAATATTATTAATTTAATCAGAAAATTTGTAGATATATTTTTTCTTTTCCAAAAACAAATATATCTATATATAAAAAATTACAATAAGTCCACAAAATTAAACATTAAAAAGATAAAAAAATTTTAAAATAAAATAAAATAAAAGCCTATTTTTTATCATTATGATTGATTGACCAAAATCAAAAGTTACCTTCTGCCAAAAAAATAAAAAAAATAAAAGCTACCACTATCATTATTAAAGAAGAAGAAGAAGAATATATAAAAAGTAAATCCACCATTAAGTGATGTACATGAATGCATGTTTCACTTAGGGAATTAAATAAATAATCTCCCTTTAGCACGATAATTGCATGTTTATAAGACGCATATAAGTCAAGGTCTTCCCTTAGCATAGTGCCCGCGATATATTTTCTATCTGAAAAAAGATTTTTTTAACACCCCGTCCAAATGTCTTTTTTTGAAAAAAAAAAAAGATTGACATTGTTCTTGTGTGTTTGTGAGAGTAATATTTTAAAGATAAAACGGTACATTTTTTTTATTGAATTTAATATTTACGTAAAAATGATATAAAAAAATATCCCATTTTCGGAATACGCTTAAAATATATGGCCAGTATGAGTATTACAATGAACACCACTCCAATGGCAACAATCTGGAGAAGAGCCCCATGAAGACAAACGACCGTAATCATCCACAAAGGCATTCTTCATGTTGAGAAGAGCTCGTCTTTCCTTGTGTAGGCAACTGGCGCTCGCATCTGCAATTCTCCAACATGCTGGCAAAGAAAGGGATGAATATATGCACCGATCTTATAACTAATTGACTAAGTTATTCTCATAGTTAATTCTAGTCTAGATTAAATGCCGCTTTTCTAAACATCACATTAAAGAGTTGAAAAAACATTTTAAAATAAAAATAAAGAAAAGCCTATTTATGATAATGATGATTGAGTGACCAAAATCGAAAGTTGCCTGCCAAAAAAAAGAGAAAAAAAATCAAAAGTTACCACCATCATTATTAAAGAAGAAGAAGAAGAAGAAAAAATATAAAAGTAGATCCACCATTAAGTGATATCCATGAATGTATGCTTCACTTTGGGAATTAAATAATCTCCCTTTAGCACAATAGTTGCATGTTTGGAAGGCGTAAAGAAGTCAAGGTCTTCCATTAGCACGGTATGGTGCGCGCGATATAATTTGCTACCTGAAAAAACATTTTTTAACACCTTGTCCAAATCCCCCCCCCCCCGGGCAAAAAAAGGGGGCAAGTCGCTTTGTGGTTTTACAAATCCGTTACATTTCTTAAATTAAGTATAATTGAATTATTATTTCGATTGTTCTTGTGTGTTTTTTAGAGTAATATTTTAGAAATAAAATGGTACATTATGCTTTTTATTAAATTTAATATTTATGTAAAAATGATATAAAAAATAAGAACAATAATTTAATGAGCTAAAAGATCCCATTTTCGGAATACGCTTAATATATATATATATATATATATATATATAATTGCGAATTCATGAATCATGATTTACTAGTTGATTCGAGTATGGTTGTTAGGAATTGAGTTGAGAAAAATAATATTTTGTTCAATATATTTTCAAATAGTATTATACTAACAGGCGTAATAAAGATGAAAGAAAAAATATTAGTATTTGGAAAATTATAGGGCCCGCTTATTTTTGTTCTGTATTTTCTTATTCTCAAAACAATTTTATAAAATTTTTTTTAAGAACAATTTTTGGAAACAAAAAACAAAAACAGTTTTTTGGAAAATAATTTTTAAAAAATCACATTTAAAAAAAATATAAAAAATTACGCTTTGACAAATGGTAGCTATCACCGATAGTGATAAGTAATAGGTAGTAAAGGAGAAGAGAAGAAGATTTCTCCAATTTTTTAAAACAAAAAAAAACACAAAAAAAAAACATGTAAAACTTGTTTTGGTTTTTCAGTTTTTAAAAACATATTTTTGTTTTTTAAAACAATCAACTAAAAACAAATTGCCAAGCAAATTTTTTTGTTTTTCTGTTTTTAAAAACAAAAAATTATTTTCAAAACAAGAAACCAAACAATCTCTATATTTTAAAAATATTCAGTATTTCATACTCATGGAAAGTATGTCGAATTCAAGCTCCATTAAAATCAGTGTCAAAATATTTACATTGTTATATGTAATGGCATGAAATAATAATTGTAACTTGTTTCGTTAACATACAGTTATTTATAAATCTGAGTCTGTTCATATAAGAATTAAGGTATTTGTGCGCAGAAAAAATAAAAGGGAAGAATTAACATACTACCTCTAGTTTTTAATATAAAAGCTAGTTTGACATTCGATTTGGTCTTAAATATAAAATCCCAATCTACTTTGTTTCTCAAATTTATCTATTTTTTCAAGATAGTCCTTGTAATATTTATACATATTAAATATTTAATCAAATAATAATTTTAGCTAATACACATGATTAGTAAAGTTATTTGAGAAAAGACAATACATTTGTTACAAATAACTACCTCGAACAATTTTCTTAATCTACTTAATTTAGTTAACTAGCTCTTATATTAAGAACAGATACTGAGTTTGATAAGCCTACCCTAAAATATAGTTTGGGTTTGGGTCTAACCGAAGACATTGAACCCCATTGAACTCGTGAAGAATGGCAATACCGGCTTGAGAGCACTGTATACATCCCGAGGGTACAAAAGAAATGAAGGGTTGGGAGGAGGGAAAAGAAAATTTTAATAATTTCATTCAAAAAATTAGAGGAGCAGGATTAGAAAATTTTAAAATTTCGGGAATGTAAGATAAAAAATTAAAAAAATTAATTAAAAGCTCCAACACGTCTCGCCTTGCATAAGCTAGTTCCACATCCCCCTTCCCATATAACATATTCCTAGTTTCCTCAGCCTCAACACTGAAGGGGTGATCTCCTCCACTGTCCCGGAGTAGAGTATTGGTAGCTTCCAATGAATCTGAAAAGACATAAATATCATTTGAAATATTAGGCCCATTGTTTGGGAATCTCACGGGCTTCCATCTGTGTTGTCTCTGCATTCTTCATGAATTATATGTCTCAATCTTTCCATGCACAAAACGGTTATCTTTGTTTACATCGTACCAGAAAGCACCTGAAAGCAAAATTACTGGGTTTGTCTATCAATTGTATTCTCAATAATTGACCTCTGTTTGTTCAATGAAATTCACTAGTTTGTCTGTTTCTGTAAAATAAAAATACAGTGAAACATGAGCGGCAAATAAACAAAAAAGCAAAAACTTAAAAAAAAAATGGATATCTGTGTGTTCTCCTAAAAAAATTTCAGAGCATTACTGGCATATTTAAGTCTCGCCTCAATTATAATTCATAGGACTTCAAATCCTACGTTCACGTGTTAGGTAATCGAAATCATTGACTTTTAATTGAAAAAAGAGAAATACCGAATGAGCAACGTGGAGTTGAAGGGATCTGCCAGAAAAGAGCGGCAGATGAACAGAGAATAGATAACTAGAAAGAGGAGAAAGAACGACACGTGTCTTTCAGCTGTTGAGATCTATCGCCTATAATTTCTTCCTCGTACTCGTTCCGTTCTGCAGAAAGTGAAAGATTCATTGAGCTGAACAATGGCAGAACAAGAGGTAGTGTTGTTGGACGAGTGGCTGAGCATGTTTGGGTCGAGAGCCAGAATAGCGTTGGCTGAGAAGGGAATCAAATACGAGTTCAGGGAAGAAGATCTGAGCAACAATAGCCCTTTGCTTCTGCAAATGAACCCAATTCACAAGAAGATTCCAGTTCTTATTCACAAAGGCAAACCCATTTGTGAATCCCTCATAATAGTCGAATACATCGATGAAGTCTGGAAAGACACTGCTCCTTTACTTCCCTCTGATCCTTATCTCAGAGCTCAGGACAGATTCTGGGCTGATTTTGTCAACAAGAAGGTAATTTCCTAATGTTTCAGAACTTCTCGATCTAAGTCTCTATCTTTTAATCATGGTGATATAATGCAGGTGGGAGATGTTGGAGGAAGGATATGGGCAGGGAAGAAAGAAGAACACGAAGAGGCAAAGAAGGAGATAATAGAGAACTTGAAGCGATTGGAAGAGACACTTGGAGACAAAACTTTCTTTGGAGGTAAAACCTTTGGGTTTGTTGACGTTGCTCTGGTTCCATTCTATCCCTGGTTTTACACCTACGAGGCATTATGCAACTTCAAGGTGGAAACACATTGTCCTAAGCTCATTTCCTGGGCTCAGAGATGCATCCAGAGGCAAAGTGTTTCCAAATCTCTTGCTGCTGAGAAGGAGATCTACGATTTTGTTGTTGACTTCAGAAAGAAAAGTCATTTGGACTGATGAAACACATGAAGGATACAAAACGTGTGCTAAGAATAAACAGAAACAATAAGTGTCTGATACAAACAGTGTTCTGAAGTTTGAGTTTTGCTTGGTGGATCCTTAGGTGTGTCAGAAGGTGAAATCAACTTGGTTGTGTCTGGTGATTGCGCAG